GCCACCCTTGTTCTCCGGATCTGGACGTTTGCCTTGCCCCTGGGGTACCGCATGTAAGTGAGGTCATGCGGTGCTTGTCTCCGTATAACCTTCACGGGGTGAGGCTGCTAGGCCGGTAGATCAGGGAAGTGCCTGGCCAGATCTCAAGTGCGTTAAATGAAATTTCTCATGATTTCCTCGTGCATAAGATGGGAAAACGCAGGCCAGGAGGCAGGGTGTCAACGCACCCATTCTTACCTCGGCCGCTCTCCCGGGCTGACTTCGGGGCTGTCAGCGGGGGTTTGCACCAAGCGGGATGATGGGAACTGGGAAGGAGCACTTGTCACCTGCAGTTTTTTATTTCAGCCTATTTGTAAAGTCCAGGAGGGAGGCAATGCCTAAACATGGACCTTCCTAGTCGCCAGGAATTTCTTCTGCAAGTTCTGTCTGGAATGGAGGCAGGAACTGGGGAACATGAGGGTGCGCACTGGGACAAGGAATCCAGGCGCTCTGTTCAGAAATTCAGGCAGGTAAAATGTCTGTTCCAGGGGAGTCGGTCAGCGGCAGATGGCCTCAGGGTCAAAGCTGGTGTTGGAGAGGCGACCTGTTTCTTGAGCGTTGTGTTTCTCAAAAGTGTGGTTCAGATCACTAGCTTCAGAATTACCGGGAGTGCTTATTAAAATGTCAAATGTCAGTTTTGGGGCCCAGACCTAGACTTGCTAAGCCTGTCTCTCTAAGGATGGGTCTTGGAAATCTATAGGTACCCTAAGTGATTCTTAACGCATATAATTTTGAACTGTTTGTTTTCAGGGGTTGGAAACCTGGCAAAAGTAAAGAATAGACTGTCCCAGGGCGGGTCTCACCACCTTGGCACTGCCAGCATTGTGGGCTGGATAACTCTTTGGTGTCAGCGCTATCCTGTGTGTTGTAGGATGTTTAGCCGAATCCCTAGTCTCGAACCCTCTGGTTGTTAGTAGCACCTTCTCTCCCAGTTGTGACAACCAAAAATATCTCCACACACTGTGAAATGTCCCTGGGGAGGCAAAATACCTCCCGGCTGAGAACCACTGCTTCGGAGGATCAGAGCAGTAAGCCTGTTCCGTCTGAGGATCAGAGGGAGCACACAGGTGGGGGAATATCCAGCTGTGGAACCGAGTGCCAAGCTGGCGCTAATCTACAGCAAGAGCTCCTTTACCTCCTTTACCAGGTTGGTACTGGTAGCTTAGTATCTGGCTGAAGAGGGGCAACTACAGCTGGTGACATAAAATATAAAGGCTGAGAACCAGACAGGGTCTGGCAGCTTGGGCCAGGCCTCAGTCCCGGCTGTGCCTGGGAATCAGTGTGGAATTGTAAACACAAGCCTCACACCACCTCAGTCCTGAAGCAGAATTTCCAGTGAAGTCCAGGCATCGGGTACACAAGTTGGCTTCAGAAACACGCACTGGGTGAGATGACATCTGCAACACCGTGCTCAGAAACTCGGAAGGGGACAGGCTAGGAACACTCTGGCTCAGCACAGCAGACCTCAGCACGCTGTGTGTGAACCTCTTCAACAGCTCCCCTCCCACCCCAGGAGAGAAGAGCATCGCACAGACATCCAGTGCGACTAAACTGTCCGAAGTAGGGGATTTCTCCAATTTTACTTTTACCTTCTGTCCTGAGCCCCTTGCTCTTTGGTAGTTTCCTGTTCCCTGTCCACCGCCTCCTGCTGACTTTTCTAGGCCCAGCCCCCTTGTTCTGGTATTTGCTTGGTTTGCATGTGATTTGGGCAACACTGAAGAGGTGCACTCACAGCCTTGATGACTGACTGGACTGGCACCTTCTAACTTCCCTTTACTTTAGAGGAACCGATCAGCATACATTGTATTGAGCAATGTGAAGCAAGCAATAAGCCGTAAAGCAGTAAGAGAGATCCCACAGCTACACAAGGAACATCAGCTTCACCGAGCAGCATCTCCTGCTCTATGACAAGAAATCCAGAGAAGAAAAGGCTCCTAAGTGTGTACCATGTTTCATTTCCACCGAAACCCTGCAGCGAATTAAAAAGTACATCCATGGAGAAGCTCGGTCAAACCTGGTTAAAGTCGCTACTAGTGTAGCAATAATTCCATAACAAACCAAGAACTCTGCAAAAACACTTCCACTATTATTTTATTCAAGGAAAAAAAACAAAGACAGAGACAAAAATCCTGGTCATTTGCAGTATCTATCAGCTTTCAATTTGGCTCTCCTATTTAAAAAAACAAATAATGAAAATTAATCCATGTAAAACATTCCATATACAGTCAACTGCTACCAAATATAAATCCATGTTTAGGAATTATGTTCTCAATTTTGGTTACTATATTACCACACCACTTATATTAAAACATTTTAATCAAAATTTTACTTTTCAATTTTATGTTTCATACTAAGTGGATTCTGTTCTTATGAAAATGTTTTCCTAATCTTTAACAAATGTGCCTATGGGCTTTCTCAGTGCACAGTTTTAATTACCTCTGACTTTAAGCATGCCCTAAACTTCTATTTAACAATGCTGTGTTTTCCTAAGTGATAAAAGTTATAGGACACTGAACTTATTCTATTTCTTCTGTGTCTGTAACCTGATTATTTTTATATCCCATTCTTGATTTCTTAGAACTAGGCACTAGATGCTAATTTGCTCAGCTGGGAAAAATTCTTACATCATTTACTGACTTTAGGCAATAACTCAATCGACTAGTTAACAGGAAATGCACTGTCTTTATCAAGTAATATAAAGAAATGTCCTAAGACTAATTTTGCAATGTAGGACTTGAATGAGTGGCAGGAGACAAGCAAATTCCCCTTTATTCTGGCACTTCTTTGATTTTAGTTGTGAAGCTCAAAGTTAAACCTCTCTACCCATTTTCTTAATGTTGGAAATCCAGAGTACTACTTACCTAAATAGGAACAGTAATAAATATTAATAATGTGTGATAAATATACTGTACATTTCTGAATTCGACTTAAAGTGCTTCACTTTCACTTATTTAACTTCATATTTAGTAATTTTTAAACTGACCTATATTTACATTTTTATGAACCTGTGCCACTCTAACAGAACAGAATTTTGAAATTAGTCAAATGACTTCTTTCTAGCCTGCTTCCAACAGTTACAAAAAGATGTTGGTAAAGAAGTTTACCATGTAATTTTAGTGAAATCTGAATTTCTTACAAAATATATAAGTACTTGGAATCTAGCTATATTTAGTTAGTTTTTTTTGCTGGTCTTTTCCCAGGCTTATGATGTCCTTTTTTGGTAATATTACCATGCTCACAAATTAGAAGATAAATATTTGACAATTACAGCAATTCAAAAAGAACATTGGTTTTATATACGCCACTTCTGAGTACTTAACCATAGCTGGAAATAAGGAGAAATATACCTACCTGTCCAAAAGTGTTTCATGCAAAAATCCATCTTTCCGGGCCTTTTTAAGAATTTTACTGTCTTCTTTACTTATTTTAAGTTTGTGGTCTTGGAAGCTCTGAAATTTCTTTCTGTTAAGAAAATATCTTTCTTGAAAAATATCTCAACTTTGATTATACCTGATTACTGATGAACTTACAAATATTTTAAAAGTTTTTCATTTATTTAAAAAAATCCTATTTCTTTAATAACACACAGCCTCTCAACTACCGATGCTCTCAGTGCCCCAAGAGGAGGGCCGCGGTCTGGGCAGCTCTGCATGCCTCACCTCCCCCTGGAATGCGGGCTGGAGTCCCAAGTGTCCCGCTATGGAGTGTCTGGCTGGCAGTCTGTACTCACGCATTACAGCCATTCTATCAATTAACAGGGAGAACAGACAAAGCCAAGTGACTCTAGCTTTGAAAGCCAGCAGGGTAATCAGGAAAACTGAAGGAACGAGAAAAGAAAAGCCCTGAGCTCAGTGCTTTGTCCTAGTTTACAATTCACTGCCTCTTCCTGTCCTTCAGGTATTTTTTTATTTTAGGCACCTTGAGAAGCACTTTCCTGTCAGACCTGTAGGTCTAAAAGGAAAAAAGTACGTACACATAATTGATTTCACATTGTTTAACGTTTCCTTTGTCTTCGTCTGGAATATCATCTTTTTTCTTAGTTTCTCTTTCAGCACAGGATCTAATCTGGATATTGGAGATGAGAACCCAGTAAGTTACACATTTATCTCCCCCCTTCCCACTTTACTTACTACATGAGAACATCCTAGGTGATTTCTTATGTAAAAGAAGAAAACAATCAACTTAGCAATTAGATTCAGGAAAAGACAGGTTCTAGATATTGTTTTTATTTCTATAAAGAATTTACATAAATCATTGCTATTATTTGTTTCTCTAGAGCCCTTGCATCAGAAACACTAAAGAGAAAATTATTTGAAAAACATTTTACCGATCAGATCCTGCTGAACAATTAGGCAATAATTTAACTAACTTAATTCTGACCTCAAAGTAAATACAGCAGGACCAAACTGTCCCTGGTATATAGTGTTCACTTTATAACACTGAAAGCTTAAGGTAGTAGCTATTTTACGTTGCATAGGCTATTACCAAATACTTTCAAACTTTTAACATAACACAATTGTTTTTACCTAACTAGACTCCACCCCTTTCAAATACTCCTTATATTCTAAGTTTTGACTGACATTTACTATCCTGTCATAAATGAACAGACACAGGTACGGCAATTAAGATCTGAGTTTTAGATGAAAATTATTTGAGACTCTGGTGGAGAAAATACCTTTTGGGGAAACTTTGGAATACATTCTGAAATTTCTAATTTTTGTGCTATGTGGATTTCTCTCTCCACCAATCAACTCCAGATAATGAAATGAAGAGTTACTGGTATTATTCTTGTTTTAAAAGATTAGTAATATTTTTCAAAGTAAAAAGAATACTGAAACACTAAAACTGATTATGAAAATCAAGAATATTTAAATAGTAAAATCAAATATATGACATGGAATTTAACACAACGCAAGTACAGATACTTGATAGGTGTTTTTAAATTGTGCTGGTGGTAGAGAAAATGTGACATGGATTTTATGCTTTATTTATAAGGATTGAGGCACTTCTCCCATTTGTCTGAGCCGTGCACTCTGGCCCGCCCAAATGCAGTACAAACACAAACTCTGGATCAGACTTTCCGGAACCTGTGCTCCCTGGGGTCCGGAATGCTCAGCACTGAGACAGAATGCCAAGAAAGAGAACACCACATCAGGAAGGTGGTAACTAAGCCTTAAAGGCCTTCATCAGGTTTCAGTCAAGATAACTATATGACTTATCTATTTTGTAGTTTTAGTTAAAATTTTACCTTGATGTGAAGATGTCTGTATAACTTTTATAATGAAGTAAAACACAATATTAGGGAATTTAGCCTGGAATGAGCAACTTTTATTTCCATCTTAGTGACTGATACCAAATTAAAACACATTTGTTTTATGTGCTTCATGTTCCTCCTCATGTAAAGCCTTTTATATATTCATCCAAAGATCCAGAAAGTGATGGCAAGAGCTCTGAAAATTCTGCTGTGACTTTTATATTTTATAAAGTGACTAGCAACACAGTGCTCAAGGACAAAACAACTCAAAACTCAGTAACCTGCTCACAGGTGTAGGTGGGAGTGTAAGTTAGTACAACCCCTACGGAGGGTTCTCGGCAGAATCTAAACAATTACAGATGTTTATACCCACTGACCCTGTAACTCTGCTTCTGGGGATTTATCCTCGGATATACTTGCACACCCACAAAATGATGCATATTCAAAGTTATGTGCTGCAGCATTGCCTATAACAGCAAAAGACTGGAAATACCTAAATTTCCATTTATAAGGAAGTGATTAAATAAATTATGGCACACCCCTAAAATACAGTATTATGTAGCTGTTAAAAAAGAGAGGAAGAAGAAAAAAGGAGAGGGAAAACTTTCCATGTAATGATAAAGGAAAATCTTCAAGATAAAATGTAAAGGAAAAAAAATCAATGTCTAAAGGAGTGTGTACAGGAGGCTAACTTTAGTGTAAACAAGTAGAAAATGACAAATATATTCATATTTTTATTCAGAGACTCTAGAAGGATGGGAGATGTGTTTATATATGCTTGTATTTAAAAAATTTTGAACCATGTGAACATTTTTACTTAAAAATTTAAGTTTTAAAATGCAGGTAAGAAAAAAAAAAGCTAGGCCTAAAAAACATGTGAAGTATTCAGGAAAAGATTCTAATACACGGAGATAATAGCAAAGGACCTCACAGATGTACTAATTTCTCTACCATGTTGTGCAAACGCACCATCAGTTATAGGATTTATAATTAAAAACAAGGCTTATTTGGAGCACAGTATAAAAAACTATGAAGTAAATCTTTCAAGTGATAGTAAATCATTTTTCAACATTTTAAAGAGCTTTAGTCACATCACGTGACAGGTATTAATCTACGGAAATATGCCATGGTTACCTTGATCATTTCTTCCTCTCCCGCTGTCTTACTTTTTGCTTCTATATCGCCTGCCTCATTGCACCTGATAAAGCAGCTATTTGAGGCCAATAAAGCCATTTTCCCCTAAATAAAATAACAAAAACAGTTATGAGAATACCTTCAAAAGAATTCTTAACTCTCAAGACTAAATTAATTCCCCCCCCATGAGTCTAAAAGTAATCAGGAAAAAGAATTTGGAGAAAACCTGGAAAATAAAAAGAAAAACACATAGAAAACTAAAATAACCTATAATCTAATTATTCAAAGATAACCACAATAAGTATTTTTAGTATATTCTACTAGCAGGACTAAATTCTAATTAGATGATATAGAACTGTTTCCTTTGGTCTAAAAGATCTATTGAGGATAAAACTAATTTGAGTTTGAAAAAAAATAGCTTTAAACACAATAAAAAATTATAACACACAATAATTTACTCAAATAGTTGTGATTTAAGTAAAATTTTTCTCCATAACTAGAAAATATAAGACTATATCATATAAAAGCTAGCCTTTGGTGCCTTTGAATTTATGTTCAGAACTTTCAGAATCAATGTTTGAGAAACTTGTGTGTGTGGAAAGAAATATTCACATTCTTTTTAGTTGTTTAATGCTGTATTATCTGATTCTGATAAAACTTCGAAAACTCATTTTCTTGTGTATCTAAACCAAGATTATAAATTTGATTAGTTCAATTTCCTTACATATATAAGGTTTAATCATAACTTGTACATAGTTGATTGTTTTGGAAAACTGACTACCTCAAACAAAATATCCACAATTACAAAAATGTGTTAATAACCTTATATCATATCCAGTTACAAAAGTGCTAATAACATGGATCTGATTTAATTTACTTGAGGTGGCAAGGGATGGGTTTTCTGTCACCTGGATGACCCCTGGTGAGCCTGGAAATGGCTGTACAGTCCCAGGTGATTTATACCTGCAATCAAATTTTACTTGTAACATCAGGGACTTTTAAGTTTTTATTTAATTTGTATTTTAAGAACTTAATGTCTTTCCCCAAAATAAAGTGAGATGAACGTCCCTAAAGTTCAGTATGAGCAGTAGTATCTGACTCACCATCCTAACTTTCTGATATAATGGCCTTTTCTGTTGATATAATTTTTATTATAAACATCTTATTATATTGATAGGATCATCTACAAGGTGTTGCAACCCATTAGTAGTTCATGAAATCAATTTAGAGGGTTCTGGCCAGTACTGGGGGGAAAATAAAAAGACACAGAAACTGAGGTAAAACAGAAAATACCAGACTGCAAAAACATGTAGATAAGTACTATTAAGTATAGCTCCTGTTTCAGTTATGTGTGTGCACTAGGCTGCAATGTGCAAAGGAAAAATGTCTTCCTCACTGGACTGAACAAGTTTGCAAGTCAGTGATCCAGAGGTTTTATCCCAGGGCATGAGGGGATCAGTCTAAGTAATTGTACTTTTAGGTGGATGTTTGGCTAATTTATCACTGTGGAAACATGGCTAGTGGCTGCCATTTTGGACAGTGTAGTTCTATATATATAACTTTACATTCTGTTTTTTATTGCAAGCATTACATCTCATATGTTATATAGTAAACATTTTCTAAATTCATGATTCTTCATATATACTGCTTTAATAGATATGTAATATTCTTTTATAGATGCATTAAAGTGTATTTTTTTGCTATCATAAATAGTGCTGCTGGTTATTTCTATACATGAAGATTGCTGATTTATCCCTAGAAGAGATTCCTTACATCGACCAGCAGCTTTTCATATACAACAATAGCACTTACATCTTGAAAGACGGGTTCCCACTGTTCTCTGGGTCCGATTGCATCTGAACGCCCAACAACAAGTCCGTCCGAATTTATGCCAAGGTATTTTCCATAGCCAGATTTTAGGGCAACTCTTCAGGTTAACGAAGAAGGTAAAATGTTAGAAACTGAGAAAGAAAATCAAATATGGAACATAAAAGTGATGTGTATTTGTATAGAAGTTCAGACTAGCCATAGTTCAAATATTCAAAAGCCACATGTGACAAGTGGCTCCCATGTTGGACAGAGTAGTTCTACATATACACTGTCATATTCTGCTTTTTACTGCAAGTATTATGTTATATATTACACAGCAAACATTTTCCAAATGCTTTATTCTTAAAACATATAAAAAAGCTTGTGTTTCTTGATTCTCCTTGTTTTTACTCTTGAAAAGTCCTCCACTGTACTTATTGGCCATTCAAAGGAAGTATAGAAATAATCATCTTAATCTTGTTTTTTAAAGAAAAAATATGATTTCTACGTTTTTAGTTTACCAATCCTGTGATGCCAGCAGGATGACTTTATACTCATTTATAGGTTAATGATAACATAACACAAATCTTGATCATCTTGACATAGCCAATGACTAGAATATGAAATTCAGTTTCTCTGTCTACCACACGAAGCATCACTCTGTACTTCTGTACTTCATTTTAAAAGCTCAGCTTATAAAATGCCTGTAAAAACAGTGAGTCAAATGGTCTTTTCGTCTTTATGACTATGTGACATTCTCTGCTGGTTTCAACAATATTCCTTTCTTCTATCCTGTCTCTTGATTTCTAATCCATGAGTTTATGTACCATAGCAACAGCAGACAGGTTTTGTCTTATGTCTGTTTTCATCACAGGACCTTTCTAATCTATATCTTATTTGGTCTATGACATCATTAATTCTCATTTTTTTCCAGCATAGTATTATATATAGCAGAGAAATCATAATGTATGTTTTTATCTGGGGCTTTAATTCTCTTTTAAAGACATGGTTACTGGAAATGTAACTTAATAATACCTAAATATCAACTGGATATGTAAATAATATTATATATATATGTACATATATATATTTTAAAAAATATGTCTTTATTGAGTTCAGAGAGAGAAAGGGAGAGGGAGAAAGAGACAGAAACATCAATGATGAAAGAGTCACTGACTGGCTGCCTCCTGCACGCCCCCGACTGGGGATCAAGCATGCAACCCAGGCATGTGCCCTGACCGGGAATCAAACTGCAATCTCCTGGATCCTAGGTCAATGCTCAGATGGTCAACTGCTGAGCCACGCCAGCAGGGGAATAATGTTATATTTTATTAAATATCACAAAATACACTTTCCAACAATACTGTTTTGCTTTTTAAAATCAAAAGTACTCTCTGGGCATAAGTTAGCTATATATTGAAATTTTTTAATGAATAAAATTAAATTAAAAAAAATCAAAGGTTATTAATTATAGTTTAATGCAGGCTTACCTGGAATCAGACAATTTGACAGCTGTGAACTGCTCTGGAGGACTAGGGCCCTCATCAACTAAAGGAGAAAAAAACATTTAAAAATAAAGTTAACATTTGTTATAAATATACATGTAAAGATATTCCTTAGTTTTAAAAATGTAGTTTTCCTTTTAAAATTAAATGTAAGAATATTACATTATGATAGTTATAATGTCATAGTCACACTATCAAAACCTATTTTATCTTCTTATAACTGCAGTGTTAGTTTTACATGCTTAATAAGAAAGGTCAGCATGATGCTTAGTCACTTCCAAGATATTCTCTTCGCATTTTAAAATGCAGTCTGTCATACATGGGCAAACCACTTCATATTTAAAAAACTAAATGCTTTAATTCAAGCAATGACCCTTCAGACTGAAGACTTGCCTTTACTCTCCCGATTACTTCGTATCACAATGCGTCCTGTGACGGCTAAGGGAATGGGAAGACTTGACTTGTGCGGTGCTCCAGGCTAGTTTTGGCAAAAGGTCTGAAGGATACAGGAATCTGAACTTTGACTCAGCCAAGTTTTCTACTTTCCCACATGATTGCAATTATTCACGTTGTTTTTGATTTCCACAGATATTCTTCTCGAACTATAAAAAAATGTTTTCAAATTCTTATACTAGAAAGAGGGAGTTGCCAATAATTGGTAAATACGGAGGAAAGAAAAAGTGGAAGAGTCAAATGCAGCAGATCCATTCCTTTGGAAGACACTTGAGATTAGTGAGATACTGGCCTAAGTGAACAAACGCAGTAAAATGTGTACTTTCCCTTTAATCCCTTCTACTGGCACAAACCTTCTTTATGTGGAGCTCCCAGGGTAAAGAGTCCATTGTCAAGCGCATGTATGTAGGTTCCTTTATCCATTTCAATTGCTATGGTTCCTGAAATTTCACCAAAGTTTGTTACTGTCCACCAGATTCCTAAAAAAGAAAATCAATATTTAACATTTATATTTTAGATTTGACACAAGGTTCTTACTTGTTATTGTTGTTATAACGCACTTTGCAAAACTTTATTTTGCAGTTCTCAGAAATAATAGAGGCCTCATATACCCTTTACTCACTTTCTCCGAAAGGTTAACACCTTGCATAACTTTGCTATTGATAGTATAACATCAAAACCAGGACACTGACAATGATTCAATCCATTAATTTAGAAACATCTCAGACTAAAAGGTCAATATACAGAAATCAATTGTATCTCTATATACAACTGAAAAATAAAATTTCAAAATTCTATTTATAGTAGTGTAAAATTATGAAATACTTCAGAATTTAAAAAAGATATGGAAGACAGCTACACTAAAAACTGCAAATTAGCCCAGCCAGGCATGGCTCAGTGGTTGAGCATCGACCTAGAATCCAGGAGATGGAGGTTTGATTCCTGGTCAGGGCATATGCTCGGGTTGTGGGCTCGATCCATCAGGGGTGTGCAGGAGGCAGCTGATCAATGATGACTCTCTCATCACTGATGTTTCTCTCTCCCCCTCCTTCCTCCCTCTGAAATCAATAAAGATATATTTTTTAAAAACACACAAAAAAACCTGCAAATTATTGAGTCAATGTTGTTAAGATGTGAAGTCTCCCCAAATGATCTAGATTCAATACAATTCCCCAGAAAATCCAACAGGCTTTACTGTAGAAAGTGATAAACTGACTATAAAATTTATATGTAAGTGCAAAGGATCTATAAGTCAAAACATTCTTGAAGATGAAGTATAAAGTTGGAAAACTATCACCTGATTTCAAGACTTTGTTAAGTGACAGTAATCAAGACAAATACATCAGCAGGACAACAGAAATAGAGAAATTAATGGAACAGAGTCCAAAAATAGACCAACACATACAAAATCAACTGATTTTTGACAAAGACACCAAAGCAGTTTAATGGGGAAAGGAAAGTCTATTCAACAGTATTGCTGAATCTACTGGATAAAAACCTGGGGGGAAAAAAGGAAAAAAAAGAATGCTGATCCTTACCTCATACCCCAAATTAATTTGAGATGAGTCACAGACCTAATGTAAGACCCAAAGAATGAGCATGTAAAAAGAAATGTAGAAGAATGTCTTTGTGACCTTGGGGTAAGCAAGGATTTCTTAGACTGGAGAATTAAGGTGGTAGCCATAATAGGAAAGAATTAACTGGGCTTTACAAAAATTATAAACTTATCAAAAAACACTTAAGAAAATGAAAAGTCAAACCACAACCTGAGGAAAAAAGAGTAATGGAATTTTAATACTTTCTTGGTGGGAGGGTAAAAGGCTATAAACACTTTAGAAAACTTTTGGCAGTTTTTTATATAAATATTCACTTTTCCTTTGACATAACATTTCTACACACCTAGACATCTATCCAAGATAATTACCCTAATTTTAGAATTATTGATTTGGTCTTTCAAAAAAATGTGAGATTTTTCTGGAATATTAGCTTTATACCAGTTCATATAAAATGTAAAGGAGCCATAATTTATGAACTTTCAAAACACAACCTGCCAAGTTTTAGGAGAAATAACTGCTTTAAAGTATAGGTGTGGAAAGAAGGGTTAACTAGAAAACAGGCTAGTTAAGTATGTTTGGGCCAGTTCACTGCTGGTACCATTTATAGGCTACCTTGATGTTTAATTAAGATTTCCATTCATTTCATTGTATAAAAGAAATTATTTTTACTGTGAATATATTTCTTTTGTAGGGATATACAAATCACTGGTTTAAAATGCATGTATGTTCAAAGAAAATAAAGTCACCGAATAACATTGTTTTCAATGATGTATCATCATAACATTGGAGAGAGAAAAAAAAATCAATTCCTAGCTGGGGCCACTGTGTGTGGAGTCTGTATGTTCTCCCCTTTCTGTGTGGGTTTTCTCCGGGTCTCAGGTTTCCACCTACATCACAACGATGTGCACGTGAGGTGAACTGGCGTGTCTCGACTGTCCCGGTCTGAGTGTGGGAGTGCACGTGAGTGTGCTCTGGAATGGAAGGGCATCCTGTCCAGGGCTGGTGCCTGCCTTGTGTCCTAAGTTGCAAGGAGAGGCTCTGGTCACCTGCAACCTGAACTGGAATAAGGGGGTTGGAAGAGAAGGATCTTTCTTGTTCATGTTCATCTTGCTTAAAGGTATGCACAGCTTGTATTGATGTCAATGGTTAATATCAGAAGTATTCTGGGTCTTTCTTTAGAAGGTTGGTGATGTTTTTGTGACCAGAAATATGCTGCAGGAGCTTAACTCTTGTTTACATCCATCGGCCGGTGGAAAAACTGGTTCCATGACACCTACATCATTTCACTTACAGTTCAGTTTCCAAGAACCTATGGACAACTTTGCTAAATTGGGACTTACTGTAATTTGTAAAATATATTTGGTTAAATATTTATATCAGGCCTGGAAAATTATGTATCAGAATCTGGGCTATTAAGTAGACTAATGGTGTCTACTAAATCAGAGGGCTGTTTCCTCTCCTGGGCTTTGTTCTGATGGTGGAGAAAAGGCATCAGTGACATCTACTGCGCTGGAGAGCGAGAGAAACCTACAACCGTAATACCTGGGCACTTTGAGACAAGTATGAATGGGCCATAAATTGCTCCTACTTTCTTTTTACTACTTACCTCTACCTAGGAAAATATTTTTAAGGGATCTCACCCAGGGTTAACTGTTCTCAGAAAGCAGGAAGCGCACTCACCAACAGCATCAAGCTGCGTCTCGTCGGCCTCCTCCCTTGTCTTCTTCTCTCTGCTCCTTTTCTTCTTACTACAGGACGTAATCAGTACAGAGGAGTTTAGATACGCTGATCTGCATTTTAAATATCACGGGTGGAATTCTAGAAGGCTCTTTTAAGCTGTACATTGATTTATAAATTTACATCGATATGACTCTTACTTCTAATGGTGAGATGCTGCTTCTGATCCCGTATATACTGAGTCACAGTTAAGAGTACAGACCCTGGAGCTAGTCCATCTGAATTTAAATCCTGATTCTAATCACTTCTCAGCTCTGTGATTTCTAGCAAAACTGACTGTTTCCCAACCTATAAAATAAGAATAATTTAACCCAACTCTTAAGGTTATTGTGAGGATTAAGAGTTAATAGTATGTACTTTCGTATGTTGCTGGTGAGAACGTATAATAGTGCAGCCACTTTGAAATTAGTTTGGGGGTTCCTCAAAAAGTTAAACACATAGTTACCATATGACCGAACCATTCCTCTCCTAGGTATACACCCAAGAGAAATGAGAACATATGTCCATATGCTAACTGTATAAGAATATTTATTTCTACTCTGATCTTTATTTCCTTCCTTCTAGTCACTCTGGGCTTTGTTTGTTGTTCTTTCTTAAGTTCCTTTAAGTGTAAAGTTAGATTGTTTATTTAAGCTTTTTCCAATCTTCTGGATCATAGCTGTGGATGCTCAACCGCTGAGCCATGATGGGTGGACCTTTTTCTTGTTTCTTGAGATAGGACTGTAATGCTATGAATTTCCCTCTTAGGACTGCTTTCCCTGTGTCACCCAAAACCTGGGGTTGTGTTCTCATTTTCACTGTATAAAAATATTTGTAGCACTATTATTCATACTGGCCAAAAAGTGGAAAAACCCAAATGCCCATCAATAGCTGAATGGATAAACAAAATGTGTTATATTCATAAATTTTACATTCACGATGAAATGTTACTCAGCTATAGAAGGAATGAGTCCTGAGACATGTCCCAACACGGATGGACCTTGAGAATGTCTTGTTAAGTAAAAAAAGCCAGATACAAAAGGCTGCACATTGTATGATTACATTTGTGTGAACTACTGAGAACAGGCCAATCCGCAGCGATGGAAAGCAGATTAGTGGTGGCCGGGGACGGGGACCGGGACGGGGACAGGGAGGGGAGGATGGGAGGAGTGAGCGCTGGATGGGTAAGGGGTTTCCTTCTGAGGTGAGGAAACGTTTAGCAATTAGTGATGAACCTTGTGAATATACTAAAAAAAACCCACCTGCACTTTGAATTTGTCCTTCAAAAGTCTGAGTTTTATGGTATGTAAATTGTATTGCAATAATTAAAAAACCCCAGGGGTGATTTAAAAAAGTTATTATGCGGTGTCCACAACAGTTCTTGGCCCACAAAAGTGCTACACATGTATACATCATGCTCAGCATCTAGGGTGACTGTAAGGCGCGTCTGTTCGGTCCGCTCCAGGAGCCGACTCGCCCTCCTTCCCGAGCCCGGGCGGCGGAGGCTCAGGCTCCCCGGGCAGCGGCTCGGGC